TTTAAAATTATAAAAGTATGAAGTAGAATCATTCTTTCTGAATTACCCTCTGTCTTTTTAATATCTAGAAGCATACACTGCTTTTATTACGAGAGAAAATTACGCTTTGTCACAATAAAAAGTATTGCTAATAATATGATAAATAAGCAATATTGCCTATCTAAAACACTCGAAATAAATCTTCGATTTCTATGCGTTATTTTTTTCTACACTTTATGGATGACACGATCTACATATTCTTCTCACTACCCTTAGTAAACTTCTAGCAACAAATATATTCCGCTTTAAGTAGTTAATCTCACAAAACCAATTTTAAGGAAAACAAAATCCCATCAAATATATATAAAAGCGAACCACCATTAATGGACATTCCACATTAGAGCACAATCCCCATTAATGGACAATTTTTGAATCATCACTCCTGAAATTTAAAGGCCCCCACGAGCCGAGTGATTATGACAGCTGAATACCGAGTAGTTCGAATCGGGTCCATATCTAGGCGAATGGGCTGGCTGCGTGGTTAGTTTTCACCGTTTTCCCCGTATGTAATATGAATACAAATTTATTTCTCCTTATAAAGTCCTCCATGAAGACATCTCTCCTCTCAGGCAGATATCTCTCGTGTGCATTGGTATATTTGGATAGACTAACTTAAGAATCTAATTCAAAGTCCCCGCCCCCCCCCATTGACAGGCATTTAGCCAACTTAGGCTTTGCCTAATACAAATTTACTAATTCATTATTTATAAAAATATTTTCTCGCTTCATGACCACTGAGATCCCTTAAGTAAAGCCGAAAAAGATGACAATAGTAAGAACTATTTGAAATTAAACACGTCAGAAAATGTTTATCATACTGTAAGTAAAACTTTTTATTTTTAGACGTGCGTGTGTGTGATTATGGCGCCTCGAGGGCTATCTGCCTAAGGGGAGGGATACTTTCGTGGAGGACTTTCTAAGGGAAACTGGCTCGTATGCACGTTACACATGGGGAAAACCACTAAAACGCCCATGCAGCCAGCCCGTTCGCGAGATTCGAACCTCGAGCCGAACTACCAGTGTTCAACGACTTTACCGCTCGGCCGCTGGTAAGCCCTATATTTAGATGAAGTATGAACTGTTTCTAAATACAACTATAGTGACAGGAGTGGTGAATGGAAATTAAAAAGACTTCGCAATTTTTAAAGTTTTATTAAAATTTTAAAATGCCATAAGCATTAATATTTCCCTTATTTAAAGCATTTAAACAGCTGAATATTCGTTGCAAAAATAATGAACGATTAAGTACTTTCGTGGATACAATGTATAAATGTATTAAAATGAATTGCAAATTCAGTTAATACAGCTTTTCTTCCCAAAAACTAATTTTAAATTAAAAAATACGATATTAATACATATTTTTATTTTGTTTCACTGCAGGATGAAATTTTATTTGTCTTATAGTTCAAATTTCTTTACCTATTATTGAAACCCACGCAAGGGCTACGTATGAAGATGTAAGGGATAGGCATCCCTTCCCTTTGGCAGTAGCCATGCAGTGTTTTTTTTTTTTTTCTAATCTAAAATTCTCGTATTCGAATTTCATCAATCTGTATTTAATTAACGTATTGGGCACCTTAACAGAAATAAACGTATTTCTAATGATTTAATTTCTTTATTAAACTAACAAATTTAATTTAAAATGCGTTATTCATAATATATTGAAATTATAATTACGAATATCCTCAACATTACTGTGCTTAATAAACCATGTTTGTTATGCATTATATTGCATACCGGATAAGAGAATCGGTTGATATTTCTAATAAATATACTGAAGTTTGACTTGCCAAATGCCGTTCAACATCACTGTTAATTTAGGTCCTTAGAAATGCTAGCCACTTTCATAGGTAGCCGTCTTATAGTTATATCACCCCTTGGAGGGGGTTTATTGTTTCGGGAGGAGATGAGTTCAGTCTTTTATTAAGCTGTTACGCATTCAATTTTAATTTAGGAATATAAAACTACTTTTATTCAAGTTTTCGCATTTATCAACATTTTCTTTAAATTCCGCTGTTTAACTTATAAAACACGTTAAAAAATCATCTAAATTTAAACAAATGTATGTATGCATTTTTCAAATTTTGGAAAGGGAGAAAGGATCTTCTAGCAATGGGGAAAGGGTGCATGGGGCAAAAACAGTCTGCTTTATAGCGTGGTCAGCAAGAAAGTGTTTAGTGCACTTCTTTAAAATCAGGAAGATTGACGTTATCGCATAAATTAGAATCTTAAGATATAAATGAGTTCGTTAAAAAAAGGTGTGCCTCAGGAAAAAATGGGGTGGCGATTTCTATTAAATTCTTCCCCATTTTTTTAACAATCGAACGCTTTAAATTAAATTGAGATTACTATTCCATTAATTTGAGATACCAGTGTCAAAAACAAATTTGACAAAAACATGTTTGAAGTCAGCTTTATTCTAACCGTAAGATTTTTGTAGTTTCTTTATATTGATATACAGTGAATCCTCTCTTGGCTACCACCCCTGAAAATGATTAGCAATTTTGAAAACAAGCATTGCCTTGACAAAGACTTCTACAAGACAACATTCTCTACTGAAGACCATGTTCATCTAGAACTGAATGGTTATCTTAGAAAGGATTCATTGTAGAGGTAGAGAAATTGCTGCATTCAAAGAGAAATCTGGAAAATTCCACTCTCTTCATAAACTGTTTCATAAAAATAATGGGATTGACTGTCTGCAAATAATGTCATAAATTTAGACCCATAAAACTGAAATTATAAAGCGTGTTTTCCTTCTAAGTTTACTTTAGAATTTTTTGTAAACTTAGACCTTTAAAGTCTAAGTTTACTAAATATTCTCTTTCACTCATCCTCTAATTTCTTTTTTACATTTTCACCAGATATGAAGCATGGGTCTTAAATGTGAAAACCGTTTTAGAGTAGAAAAAGTCGTGTCTAAAAAATCTTTGGATTGCGACATGTAAATGCTGTTTAAAAACGTCTCGAATAAATATACTATGCGCGTTTATATTTTGTGTCATAGCACGATTACAAACAAGATCTGCAAAATCTTTGCTTAAATTTATCTTCTCACTTTATTAAGAATTTGTGTTATTTTAAGGTTTCCTCATGGAGTGAATATGCATCGAAATTTTTGGTGTTCATTGCACTTTATCGAATTATTGATTAAAACTCATCATGCAGTGCAAAAATAGAACGACAATATTTGAAGGCTACTTAAAGCCTTCATAGTATGAAACCCGGCAAAACATGCATAAATTCGTCTCACTGCTTTCGCAATGCATCTCATTATTATCTGTGTCTGTCGGATATCGCTGCAGGTGATACTTTTTAAAAATTTCAATTGATAATTCCAAATTTCCATTTTGTATATTCCTTAGGTGTAGCTAACGAAATATAAAATGGAGCTGCATACAACTTGGACTAACATAAAGGATGGGAGGCACATGACTGGTAAAATTTTTCTGAAGATGTAATTTTTGTGTAACCAAGTGAATGTTGAAATAATTGGTTCAAAAGTGTTTTAAGTAGCCAAACTTTCCAAGTGTATTCTTGTTATCTATTTGCTTTTGAACATCTCCGTACTGCCTTTTTGAAAGAGAAACGTCTTTTTTCCCTACATCTTTTTAGCTTTCATTCACCAGCCGCCTAGTAATAATATCATTGAATACTGGTGGTTCGACACCAGTTTAATGTTCGGCAAACAGGCTGACTGCATGGAGTTTTCGTAGTCTTCCCTCCAATGCGCAAAGCGGATACTAGTCAGTTGCTGCTAGAAAGCCCTCCAAGAAAGTAACCTTTCCCTCTTAGGTGCTTTACCGTAAGCCAAATAATCCTAGCTAACCCACTTGAGAAATTTCAGCGGGGAAATTTCAGCCCGGCAAAATAAAAATTCCAGTTGAACCTATGCCAAAACGATTAAATCAGGTTTCAAAAGTTATTAACTAAATCCAGCTTCTTTTTACTAAAAATATTAATGCAGCAAGAAGACTAGATAAACATTTACTTCAAAGAAAAACTCGCATTCATTGTTTAAGTTCAGAACATTTAAAATTTTTGCCATTTTCGAAAACTAACATTGTCCGATCACTTTTGGGTAGAGGCTATTGAATACTACTATCGGTTAGATAGTAATTTTATTTAGGAAAAGTAAAGGCAGGAAACTGCGGGATATGTAGCGAAAATTTTGCAGCCTGGATATTATCCTGACAATTTTGCGAAAAATTTCGAGATTGAAGATTTATATAACCCTTTTTTCAGAAGGAAGATTTTTTACTAGAAACGAAGCAACGACGTAACCGGAAAAAATTGCATGCAATTAAACAAAAATTATAGTATATACTTTTCGATTGAAATTTACATTTAAAAACCAATTAAAATCCAAAAAATAACTCAAAAAAGTTATTTTAGATCAAGATTAACATTTAATTGAACGGCGTTTTCATAAATTACACTGCATACATAAATTTCTTTTATTAAGAAGCTTTTTTTCAGCAATTGTTTGATATCGAAATTATCGAGACTAATAGGTAACACAAGGTGACTTACGTATTTCAAGTAACGACTTTTCCTCGTATTTTCAGATGTCAAGCAAAATTTAGACTAATTCATTCTCCTAGTTTCAATTTTGAAATAAGATTACCCCGCAGTGAATTTTTTTGGATATTGAAAAGAAAGTTGCATTAAAATAAATTATTACAGAATTTTTCTAAAAATCGACTTTGGGGGGGGGGGAATTATTTTAGAGAAATCTTAGAAAATAACCCTAAAATTTGGGAAATAATCTTGAAAAATTCGCTCCTCGATAAAGTTACTACGATTGAGAAGACGTAATGTTTATAACGGCGAATTACTCTATGTATTTTATTACATCAGTGCAAATCTAAAATTCGATACGTAACCGAGACCACAACACGGTCCTTAAAATATTATGTCTGAACCTTAACATAGGCATGCGAAAGAAATCAACAACGTACCGAAAACGCCGTCATTGTTCGGCAAGAGGCCTATCCTCTCCAGGGGGCTATAAGGGGGCGATATCTGGTGCGGGGGCGACGCTACTATGTCCATCTCTCCGTTCTCACCGAGTTTCCTGTCCGAAGAAGGTGGCGAAACCAGCTTCTGATCCGGCTGCTCTTCGTCGTCGTCCAAGCTGGACATCCTGAGGTGGGGATCGAGCTTCAGGGGTGCCCTGTCTATAACCCCTAAAGCGTTGGCGGTGGGCAGTCCGAAGCAAGGGGACACCGTGCCGCTGTCCCCCGGTGAGCCGTGAGCGGAGCGCGGGCTCCACAGGTTAGAGTGCAACTGTCGAGCGAGGGCCTCGGCTCGCAGCCGGCAGCTCGCCAGGTTCAAACTGCAAGACATAGCCCAGTGATCTTTGAATCCCAACACAGGCATCGGGAGGCTAAATTTAGAAGACCGTAATATTTCCACTTCAAGGCTGTGGCGTAAACAAGGTTGCAGCTCAGCCGGTATTTACCACAGCATCGCCCAGCGAAGTTATTCCGCCGCTCTTGTTCCGGCCGCAACATCGCTCTTCTCTTTCCGAACGTCTCCGGAGCGGTACGTCTTCGCCATGCGCGTGACCGCCAAACGTCCTTGGGCGAGAGAAGAGAAGGTTCTATCGCGCGCCATCTGGCGGAGTGCGCAGAAAAACGAACTCGCAGTCCCTCCGTTAAGAATTGCTCTCGAAGTTTCTACCGTTGTGCCAGTGCGATTTTCCCATTTTGAAAATTCTTTTGAGCGAGATGCCAAACAAACGTCCAATATTGATCATAACTGTGGTTACGATAATATGCGTGATGACTTACGATGATAGATGCAGCTAAGTAAATGTCTTGATTTACAGAGTTGTCCTATTCTCTGCGGACACCGTAATTGTTTTATCTTCCGATACCAATTATGAGTGATGAATACACTGGCTGGTCGCCAGATGATTCTGAAACTTCTAGTTACAGTTCACGTTCAAAATGTGTACCGTACAGGAAATTTTTAATGTCAACTGGAGCGCAACGGAATCCTATTCCGATTCCTGTTAGTCATTCATAACAATCCTCATTCCCGCATGGGCAACAAAGTTTTTAAAATACTACAGAAACTTTTAATTCATTGAAAATACGTATCTTTCCTATACGCGCTAAGAAATTAACAAAAATATAAGGTAAAGTAAGGTGACCAAATTTCGAAATTCGAGACGCTGTATGTATAATTTTTTAAATATTTTCTTTTACGAATAAATTGTTTTATGTAATGTAGTTTGGGTATGTAGGTCAATATATATATATATATAAATCAAAATAAATAATTTTCGTTTTATTTTTAATAGTGATATGTAATATCTTTTAATAAATAAAGACTAAATCAAAACGCGGTGTTCATTTTTTAAAAAAAATAATAAATTTTTAACCCTTCTAAATTATTTTGATGAAGCAACCTTGTATTTCTCTGAAGTATAAATATTTCTTGGGATTTTTTTTTTTTTTTGGTTATTAACATATCCTTCGAAGCGTCCAATTTAAATTGTGTTTTATCACTAGTCCAAAAACTGTTAATAAAGCTAAATACTCGCTCAGTTGCAGCATTAGTGCCATGAAGACAAAAGAGAAACTCTGGCAGTTTTAAAACATTTGATCTTATTAATATAATCAGTTATCTTCCTCCGAGTGGCTCAACAGCGACCTAGTGGTAGAATCACTGAACACTGGTAGTTCGGTCCGAGGTTCGAATCCTTGAAACGGGGTGGCTGCATGAACGTTTTCGTGGTTTTCACATGTGTAACGTGTATACCAGCCAGTTTCCCTTAGAAAGTCCTCCACGAAGGCATCCCGCCTATTAGGCAGATAGCTCTCGAGCGCTGTGCCACAGTCAAAAAAACAAACCATCCACCTCTAACTGGGCACATGTTATTTTTCTACAATTCCAATATTTTTTTTTTCTGTGATATATCATTTTAAATTAAACACATTCCTCACATATATCAATTTTCAATAATTTATGATTAATCCAATAATGTAATTTCATATTTTATTAACAAAAAGGCTGTTTCAATTCATTTAATATGATGAATACATTTCAGTCTCCTGAAATATATATATATTTGGACAATTTCTCCAAATAAGTAAAAACAGTCTGATAAAAATGAAACAGTAGCTTCTGGAAATTCAGTAACTTCGTATTGTGATACGAAGTTACTGAATTCTGTTCAAGTTTCTCTTGAGTTTTTTTAACATTTATTGGAATAAAGTTATCCTCTATCTTCCTCAATACTGAAGCTTTCAGAGCATCCGTTGAAGCAATCACATGAAATACAGACGCAGTTTAATTTTCAATTGTTATGAAATTTGATTTTCAATTGTTATGAAATATTGAATCCTGAATATTAATAAAAGTAGCCAAACTTCTGCCACTGTATTTTTCAAAGAATTTTAAAATAAAGCATGGGACACTTTTCTTGAGATTGAAAATAAGCCTTCAGTGGCAAAAACATTTGGAGTACCCTTTCAATGACGGGAAGTAATGCTAACCATCTTGTTTATGAATAGCCTAGTATCATTAAAAAATCGGTTTCTACGAAGTTGCAGAAATTTTTCAATGTTTCTCTAGCAGTACAAGATTTAAAATATACGTATATATATCTTAGAAATAATCATTTCTACATCAGCTGACGTTCTTATAGCGTTATTTATAATATGCGCTGCGCATCCGATTCCAATTAAACCATGGTCAAGGTTTCGTTTCAGTTTAACAAAGACATTATTTTCTGCACGTATCTCAGCTTTCTGCACGTCTCAGCTTAAGTTAGAATTCGTATTATCGGCAAGAAGACGAATAATATTTTCTTTTAAGTTATTTTCTTCAAGACAGGTAGTTAAATATTTGCTGACAATATTCACCAGGTAAGGATTTAAATTCTAAAATATTTACTCTAACTCCCTTACTCCAATGCATAAATCTAACAAGTATTGGAAAAAGTTTTATTTCCTTGTGATTGGACGCATCAGTTAAGATTGAAACAAAAGAACATTTTTCCAAATCATTGTGCAAACCTGTGAAAGCATAAAGCATGAAAACTTTTCGTATTATTGCTTCGGCCTGGGTTCGCGCACATGTTTATTTAAGTTCAAATACCACTTGAAGGAGCTTGGGCGGATAATCCATAGAGCTAAAGCTATGATTGTGACAAATAGTATGGTTTGCAAAGTACCTTCTACTGTAGCTAATTCTTCTTCTTCCGTATCACCCATTTTCTCCTGTTTGAAGAAATTCTTTAATGACACGCTAGATGCAGCAGCGCAGTTTTATATTTTATGTTTATTACTATTCATATGAAGTGTAATATCTGTACGCCACCATGGCTTATTGAAAATTTCGAAGAACATGTATTGCATCGTACATCGGAATTGCTTATAGCTTTTTCAATAAACGGATATTCCTTCTGTATGTCTTCGATAGATGTATAGTTACTATTTCTTGAATCCATTACTTATAAAAATCAATGGTAAAAATAAATAATAAATTTAATTAAACTGCAATAAAACATACCCTTAGCAAATTTGTATTGCATCGTTGATAAATAAATAATATATGCCGTTGCAAACGGGAAACATCATTAGACGTCATCGTTTTGGCAGATTTAAAAAAAAAAAAATTTAACCCTTAAGCAAAATTAAAATGAAGTTGGAGTAAACATTTTACGATCTAAACGTGACAAAAGAAAGATGATTTTAGATGGATATATCTACAATGAAATTTCAGCAAATGATAAAAGAATTATTTTTAGGTGCCGTGTTATAATGTTTTACGGGACCATACGTATGTAATGCACAGTTGATAATTAAAAAATATATGTATATATTATAAATTGAAATCCCAATCGAACACCAAGTATTATCACCCTGTATTATTTTAACGAAATTAAATAATGAAGAATCTGCATGTATATTCCTCTGGCACTGTGAAAAAATGACGGAACCTAGAGCCATAAATTTTGAATAACGTGGTCTTCCACCAAAACATGTGCATCTCAAAGTCCGATTTTGTAATTTCGAATTTTAAATTTCATATTTTGTAAAACTTTTTTGATTATCACAACGGTTTGAAAGTGGGCAGTGGCAACACCATACGGGAAAAACACTTTTAGCTCCAGCGCGCGTGAATGTAACATCGGAAATTCTAAAGATATGTTGTTTTTAAATATTTTGTGATTTTTCTAATGAATTGAAGTTTACGTTGGGAAAGTGGGAAGAACATGGTATATAATAAATAAAGTCAACAGACAAAACGTTAATAATAAAAAGACAAGAAAAAAAAATCTGAAGGCTTTCAGATTTCATATGACGTCTAAACGCCTTTTTGCATTTACAGACCCCTATACATTTCAAGAGCTTCTGGGCTAATAGCACATTGGGATAAAAATATTTAAAAACAGTATGTATTTTGAATTTCCAATAGACAGTCTTGGGCGCTGGAGATAAAAGTTTTTTTATTCCTTACAGAATTGTTGAGTTTCTTAATAACAAATTCGTTACGGTTATACAGAATATGAAATAGAGAATAAAACAAATTCAAAATTCGGGCTTCCAATTGCCCGTATTCGGGTGGAGGACTATGCTATTCAAAATTTGATTACTCTAGGTTCCGTCGTTTTTTCACAATGAGAGAAACGTTCATGTAGATTCCTTATCCTTTAGTTTCTTTAAATATAATACAGAGCGATAATACTTGGTGGTAACAATTTGAAAAGTCATTCGGACATTTAAAATAATTCGACGCAAAATGCCGTTTTGAGACTTTTGGTGCGTTTCTGGGTTAATGCCCATTCGGGCTAAAAAGAGTCTTGCAAGCCATCTTGCTAAGAAAACTGAAAATTGACGTGATGAACTGAGATAAGACCAAAAAAACAAGTGGAAAAATGTATGCCAACATTGCATTGAGAGTTCTAAACATATATTGCTTTTAAAATTTTTGTAACTTTGCCGTTGTATTGTGCATGGCGTAAGTGCGAAGAAAATGATGCTTAATATTATAGTAGGACAAAGACCAGTGACCAGGTTAGCAGCTGTGAATGCAACGGCAGGCTGGTAGACTGCGAGCTCAGCGATAGTGTAAAAATCTTAACAAACCCTTTTGGGCAGCCGTTAAAATCTGAAACCACTTCAGATTTTATTATTATTTTCCTTTACTTTAACATTCCAGCTTGAAACGGAAATCATACTACGATACGCTTTTACAACAATCACTGATTTCATTTTTTAAGGGAAGTAAGACATTTCCGATAGCGAAAAATGAAAATTACCATTATTAATAATCTGAGTATTTTCCTAGCATAACTCATTGCCTAGTTAAAAATATTTTATTTTAAGTTAAAACATAAAATTGATTTTATACTCAATATTATATTTTTGGGGAGAAATTTTATATTTGAAATCTCAGATCTCAGCTACATGATCCCTGTTAGGTACACATATAAGTTTCTTGTTTATAGAATCATTTCGAATTTGTGCTAATAGTAGCATAAAGTATGATAGTATTAGTATTATCTTACAAATGTTTTCATAAATTTAATTTTTATAAAAAATCTAA